TACAATCAGGAAACACGATGTTACGGTTAAATGATCAGTCTCAACTCTGCCTCATTGAGTGTTTGCATTCAAAGAAGGCTCTCTTTATTTCATTGCATAGAACTTGTCAGGTATTCGAATATAATATCACAGCATGGAAATGGAAAATTTAGTTTACAGATGTACCGATTTGTGTACATGAGCTCCTAGTGCAATCCTGTGCCGAAAAGAGATCACACAACACGTGGATGTATTAGTAGGGGAATTTGAAGTAGGAAGAGAGAGGTGGTAGAAAGCAATGAGGAGAGCAGTCCTCGAATACTTTGTCTAGTTCTCATGCCCACACTTTAAAAAGGATGGTGAAAAATTAAAGAGGGTTCAGAAAAGAACTATAAGAATCTCAGTGAGACTAAAGGAACTCAATCTACTTAGCCTATTGAAAAGAAAGACATATCATGACTTGACCGTGGCCTCTACATGAGAAGCTATTTAATCTAGCAGACAATTGGTAAAACTTTGCTACGTGCCTATGTGACTTAGGAGCCTAAATCCAATTTTCAATATGTGGGGAGTGGGATCCTAAATTACTTGGGTACTTTTGACATTTTTACCCGTTTTACTCATTGAAAATGGGATTTAGGTTACTAAGTCACTTAGGCACTTTTGAAAATGTTACCCCCATATGTGAATTTAAAGGACACAAGTCATGGAGAATTTCTCACGTCCCTTTGCAAACTGTCGCATGGTTAATTATGCTCACGGTGCAAAATGTGTGTCTTACATCCTGTCCGAGCATTGCTGACTTCATCTTCCAGCTATTGGATCTTCTTATGATTTTGTCGGCTAGATTAAAAGGCCCTCTCCTATCAAATATCTGCTCCATATGTGGGTACATATAGACTGCAATCAAGTCTTTCTAAACGATCCGTCCTACTAGCTCATCTACAAGTTGTTGGGCTGTCTGCAGGAATTACTGAATGGAATTCTCTGGCATGTATTATTCAGGTCAGACTAGGTGATCATAGTGGTCCCGTCTGGCCTTAAGATCTATGTACGAGGGTGCATTGCTGTAATATGATTATGTCTCAGTTGAAATATACCAATTTTGTTTTTAGAGAACAAAACTAAGTAAGCAAATAAAGCAAAGCCTTGTGATTTCTGTAAATACATGTAAAGTATCCAATCCATAGTGAAACACACTTTTAAACTACATAATTTATACAGGAAAATATTTATTTTGATGTATGTGCACTGGTAGTGTATGGTAAAACAGGGTGTACATCTAACTCAGGAAAAGCTACCGGAGTCTCCTTTGTTTGCTAGTCATTTGTCAGTCTGAATAAAGAATGTTGAGAATAATTGTTCACAATGCTTCATGCTTTACTCCTGTATGTGTGGGATGCGTCAAGTTCCTTACCAGCCATATTCAGTGAGCAGGGAATGGGATCTGCAAACCAGGCCTGTTTAAATTGTCTCTTCGTTAACAGGCCTTACAGCTGGAGCCACAGATCATCTCCACAGGCCAACTCCAAGCTCTCTACAGTCAGCCAGGCCCTGTAGAAAATCTTTAGGGGTGAAGTTGTGGCCCTATTGAAAGTCTATGGCAGTTTTCCCTTTAACTTTAATAGGGCTAGAATTTCCTCCTATTGGTTTTCCTCTTCACCACATCATCAATCCAGCCCTGCTGTGCCATGCACTTTCTGTTAGTTTTAGCAAGATGATTTCTCGGGCGCTAGTCTGTTCCCAGTTCTCAGAGTTGAGATGGGGAGGTTTGATTTATTTACACTTTTGAAAGCATTAAAGCCACACAATGGGTCTGGAGGCAGACCTTGCCCTGGAGATCTAAATCAGATTCCTGGTGCTATATCAAGAAGCCCTGATCTCCACTGGTTCCCCTCTGTAGCTATTACTAGAATTGGTCAAGAATTCCCAACTGGATTACTGTTCCAACAGAAAGTACCTTTTTCACAGAATTAACATTTTTCTGGGGAAATTTCAGTTTTCCTGAGAAATTTCAATTTTCTGTCAGAAAAATCAAAATGACAGCTTCCAGGCTGCCTAACTGGAAGGGCTGTATCGATTTCTGCATCCCGGGGAAAAGGAATTCAAGAAGAGCCTGCCCAGCAAGCCACGGGCCGTCTGAAAAGTTCCATTTTTGGTTCTGCTGAAACAGTGTTTGTCTGGAAATTACTTCCTGCAAGAAATTTTCAATTTTTGACTTTTCATCCTGGTTTTGGGCAGAAAAATTCTCAAAAATGCCAATTTTGGATTTCCATCTTCCGGCCACCTCTAGTTGCTACTGCAGGCCACTGGGGATAGAGGCAGTGACTCCTGAAGGGGAGTGGGAGCCAGAAGTACAGTGCAGTTGCCAGCTCCAATGTAATAGTATCTGGAGATCCCTGAGCTATGCAGGTTCATAACACCTCCCTGCATAGGAGTCTCCGTGCACAATCTCTCCCCGGGGTCATAATACCATAGTGTGACCAGTGCTCAGGTTGGATGCCCATTGATTGAAAGTCCCAGAGCTCCTATGCTATGTGCAGATCAGATAGCGTGAGCCATTTGCTGTGGTTTGTTTACTGTAAGGTGCTGCAGAGCGCTACTAGATCTAGCAACACCAAACACTATCAGCAAATGAGATTTTTCTGCCCCGGCTTTGAGCTCTGGGAAGACACAATAACCCACCAGGGACATCTACGGACATCTGAGCTCTGAGAACACACAGTGACCCCTGGGGCCATCTGATGAGGTTCAACGAGGACAAGTGCAGAGTCCTGCACTTAGGAAGGAAGAATCCCATGCACTGCTACAGGCTGGGGACCGACTGGCTAAGCAGCAGTTCTGAAGAAAAGGACCTGGGGATTACAGTGGACGAGAAGCTGGATATGAGGCAACAGTGGGCCCTTGTTGCCAAGAAGGCTAACAGCATATTGGGTTGCATTCGTAGGAGCATTGCCAGCAGATCGAGGGAAGTGATTATTCCCCTCTATTCGGCACTGGTGAGACCATATCTGGAGTACTGCGTCCAGTTTCCCCCCACACACACACACACTACAGAAAGATGTGGACAAATTGGAGAGAGTCCAGCGGAGGGCAGCAACAATGATTAGGGGGCTGGGGCACATGACTTATGAGGAGAGGCTGAGGGAACTGGGCTTGTTTAGTCTGCAGAAGAGAAGACTGAGGGGGGATTTGATAGCAGCCTTCAACTACCTGAAGGGGGGTTCCAAAGAGGATGGAGCTCGGCTGTTCTCAGTGGTGGCAGATGACAGAACAAGGAGCAATGGTCTTGCACTGGGGAAGGTTTAGGTTGGATATCAGGAAACACTATTTCACTAGGAGGGTGGTGAAACACTGGAATGCGTTACCTAGGGAGGTGGTGGAGTCTCTTTCCTTGGAGGTTTTTAAGGCTCAGCTTGACAAAGCCCTGGCTGGGATGACTTAACTGGGGTTGGTCCTGCGTTGAGCTAGATGACCTCCTGAGGTCACCCGGATCGTCTCTGAGTCTATGACACAGGGACTCCCTGGGGACATTTAGTGCCATCCCAGCCCTTGTCTTCGACTCCCTGGGCACGTCTAGGGCCATCCCAGCCCCGGGCTCCGGGGACACACAGTGACCATCCCAGCCCCGGGCCCCGGGGACACACAGCGACCCCCCGCGGACGTTTCGGGCCATCCCAGCCCCGGGCTCCGGGGACACACAGCGACCCCCCGCGGACGTTTCGG